CCTGCTGCGATTGGATTGGATATTATGCCCAGTAGTAGTAGTGTGTCAAGCGTTGGCTCAAGAATTGAAATACCGTGTGATAAGCGTGTATAAATCCAATTTTTGGCTATTACACACAAAACACTGTGGCAAGATTTTATGTTCAAGTAGAAGCGGTATGCAGAACTCTGAAATTGGCATTGTTAATTATAGAAGTGGTGGAGATATAAAACAGAAAGTAATGTTAAGCATATCAATTAGCTAACGACAATTTCCCCACGTATACAAGTATACATATGGTGATAAAAATGAAATAATTGATAATCAATGAAAAGTGCAATTTCTTAAAGTTGTTATTCTGTATAAAAAAACTATATAATGGTTCTAAAACTTGTAACCATGGGTATACTATCCTATAGAGCTAATGTGCGTGGGAATAATGTACTACAATCTAAGATCGTACTGTGAACAATGACAGTATAATTAATCACTTTGCCACACAAAAAGCTAGAAAAGTGATTAATTTAATTTAACGCATGTGCAATTGACCTCATCTGGCCAACAGAAACGTCAAAAAAGCATACAGATTAATAACACGTTTTAAAAAAATCGTATACATGTATGTAAATCTGATGTGTTTACTTGTATGTCTTGAACCTGTAAAATAAAATTAAACATAAAGAAAAAACAACAACACCGTACTGGAAATAAGCAAAGTTTACTAAAGTTTGCTAAAAGTACTGCAGACTTCTAAATCAGATTGTCAGTATCAAATTATTGTTTGTTGAAGTTCGCGCAAAACTACATGAGGGATATCTACGCCAGCTGTCCCTAATTTTGAAGTGATAGATTAAATGGAAGAAGCCAGCTAACACCACCTTACAATGATGGGGTGCTGTTATAAGACCGAATAGATTGATTTAACCACCCACGGTCCCAAATTGCGAAACCCGATTTTTTATTTTGGCGGTAACAGAATGCGAAACACGGAACCTCAGATAAAGATCCACAGTCCGGTACGCTAACCACTAGGCTACTATTAAAAACGCTTGCTTACGCATTATTACATTCGTATTACACTTATTTCGTGTAACACACGGTACTACAGCTTACTACAATGTTGGCATGGCCAGGTGATTAGGGCGCTCGACTCGCAATCTGAGGGTCGCGGGGTCAAATTCCCGTCCCACCAAACATGCTCGCTCTTTCAGCCGTGGGGGCGTTATAATCCCACTATTCGTTGCTAAAAGAGTAGCCCAAGAGTTGGCGGTGGGTGGTGATGACTAGCTGCCTTCCCGCTAGTCTTGCATTACTAAATTAGGAACGGCTAGCGCAGATAGCCCTCGTGTAGCTTTGCGCGAAATTCAAAACAAACAAACAAACAAACCACATACTCAACGCATTCCTGCAATGTGAAGGCTCTTAATACTTATGTTTTGTTTATCATCCCGAGTACTCAATATAGTAACCTTTTTGTCACTACGCTAATAACTTGTCCTATTTTTTTCTTCCGATGTGTTTATCTTGTAGTTTTGCTTCCAACTAAAACAAAACAAAAGCTTCCGTTTTAATAATTTGAACTCTAATAGCAACTGCAAGCATAATACTAGATAGACTCTGTTCTTTTCTTGTTACTGTTCGGAAATAAATGGGATCTTCAAACGTTTTCGTCCACAGACCACTTCGGTGGGGCAAAAGACCCTACGGACTACCTATCGGTCCTACAACACCCACTTTTGCTTGCCACCGTAATAAAAAACTCACCAGAATTAATGGGAAGAATGGCCTCGACGTTGCGAACCACCCGGTGGACCCTCTCGGAACACCACTAGTTCCGATCCACACTTTGAGAATCACTGACAAAAAGGAAACACTATGAATCAGTCTCTTTATTCGATGGGCAAAAGGGGCAGTTGCCCAGGTCCTAAAGGCCGTCAGGGGCCCTCCGCGCACTGTGAGTGTAATAATAAAAAATGTTTATAATAAACTAATAATAATAATATACCAGTTTAAAAAAAAGGAATATATATATATTTCTCATTTCCTTCGTTTTTGTTATCACTAATAAATTGAGTTCATCAAATTTTATGGTATTTTCTTAAAAGCAAGGGTAGGGAGGGCACTAGTTTATACTCCGCCCACGGCCCAGCAGTGCCTTAAGGCGGCATTGGTATGAACACTTGAAGGTCACGGCATTTTGATCTTAAGTTCTGGTGACCCCAATTATCAATAAAATTAAAGTCACTTTCGATTATAATAACTGCTACAGATCGTTAAAATATGAACACATATCCAATCGCAATTTAGTTTCAAAACAACGGGCTACAACAAAACTCTTCGTAATTGTACACACACACATACATATATATTTATCTGTCGTGCTTTAACTGTATGATTCCATTTGTTATTCTTATCAATGAAGCTAGACAGCAGTTACTTTACTTCAAAGTAAAATTTAAATGTTATTTTATGCTTTTGTGTATTGGTGAACTTTCCGATATAACATAAATTTTGAAAATTGCACTTTTGTAAAAGTACATCATGAGAAATGGTGAGATTTATTTTTAGAACATCAAAAGAAAATTGTTCTTAAAGTGTATACCTTTCTATATGAACGTTGTGTATTTATGAATTTTTTTTTCCTATCCAGTGAGTACAAGTTCTTCAACCAAACAAACCCAAAATTTTGATCTTCTCGTGATATTTTACTGAAATATTTATAACATGCATGGTGTGATAAAAAAACAACAATAAAATCAAATACGTCTAGCCAGGAAAAACCAGGTTCTTGAGGGCCGTTTCTTAGATTGACAGGGAATTCGTTCTCTGTGACATTACTTTTAAACATTTTGGTATATATTTAAAGATCAAATTCATTGGGTAAAGGTAAATATCGTTTAAAAACTGAAGATATCCATGGTTTTTATTTCTGAATAGAATTCATCCAATATTACATAGCACATTTTCCTTGGACGTATTATTCTTATCTATCTATTATAAAAATAAAGTGTAAAAAAGAGCCAAAATCAGATATTTACGAAAGATACTTGCGTCAATGCCCAAACATGTTTTAAAGTTCCTTAGTTGGTATCTCAGCCCCATTTGTTTTAAGATATAGTTGGAATATTAATGCATATATAGATTTGTGTTTTGCTATCCGTTAGCAAATTGTAGCTACCACTTATAGGTATATAAATTACAATTGAGTATGCCTTCAAATTTTCTTGTTACGATAAGAAAAAGTAAACAAATTACCAAAAAAAATAATAATACTTTGCAACGACGCAAAAGCTAAGATTCACTGTGGTGGTTTTTCATAAATTTTACAAAAATTACAAGTTAGTTAATAGCAGAACAATGCAGAAAAAATGACCATCTAAGACTGTTGTTGTTTGTTATTAAACACAAAGGGCTATCTGTGCTCTGCCCACAACGGGTATCAAAACCAGGTTTCTAGCGTTGTAAGTCCGCAGACATAGCGCTGTGCCACGGGGGGGGGGGCAACATCTCATAATAAACTGCAAAAAATAGGAAAATTTTCTCATTTGAGATACAATTACATTTTATTAAATCAATATTAAGCAAGCAAACACATATATTTGAAATATACAAGTTCAGGACAAAGTAACTCGACACATGATTAACTTGTACTTCATCCCAACTTTAAATACCTAAAAAACTACTGACTACACATACCTATGTAAAATATTCTACTTCGCTCATGAACAGATAAAGCTTCAGGGTTAGTCTGAAAGCCCTGCATGTACTGTACATAACCCAAAGCACATATTACAATAATGGTTAAGCATACATCCAAGCCATTTCCAAACAGACTTACTGAGATTGTTAACACTATTCGTCAATAATGCAGCAGAAAATAAACTTAATAGGCTGGCTACATAAATAACTACCATCAGAAAAATTATTATGAAATACCTATTTTAACTTTCAGAAAGCAGTTCTTTAACAAAGAGATGTACAAACTATTTCAGAGCTTTAAACTTGGAGTAGTGAGTAAAGAATAAACTGTATACAACCCCATATTTCATTTTAACTCTTTTTATTAAGGCCAATGTTTGATGAGCCTACAAGTAATTCAATGGTTTTCTTTGTTTACGTCCAGGTCAAATTTAAATTTACCTAGGAAAACTGTAACATTTCAAAAGAGTGAATGAGTGTCAATGAAGCTCAAATAACTTATGCATATTTTCCTGAGAGTTAAAATAAACCTTAAACATAAAGTATAGAATACATTTCATGAGATTTAACCCAACTCTTATATATTAATTTAAAACACAAAATCAACTTGATTCATCACATATACTAATTCTTATTATGTGTAAAAACAAGAATATACAAATAATAGTTATAAAGAACTAAATCACACACTCACTGTCCTTTAGGAGAAAGATTCTATTAAATTTGGTTAATTACTGACTAGAACACTTTTGAAAAACAGTTATAGTACTGCTCATTACTTCAAATCATATTTTAATAATACATTATCAGCACACTAATCTACAAAAAACAAACACACACACGTAGAAGAAGGCATTAGAAATAAGCATAACACATTTAATAATACTTAGAGAAATTTTGAGTATCTAATATTCCTATCATGACATCCATAGCCCTAATCACGAGGCTATGCCAGACTTCACCTGTGATCAGACACAAATTTTTGTTCCTGCGTAATATAATGACCTAACTGGTTACAAAATGTTGACATCAAATAAAATCTACCAATTATCTAGTCTTGTACAAGGCTGAAAATACACACACACGAAGGTCATTAAAACATAAATTCTGCTGTTATCACAAAATGTTTATGAGTTTTAATTGCATATTACAAAATACATTATGTAAACTTACAAAGTGAGAGCTTCTAATGAAAAATATCACTTTGTAATTGTACACTTAAAATGTGTGTTGTTGCAGTCATAAATATCCAGTTTATAGAGTTCTTTTTGTTAAACCTGCAATATGGTATTATAAGCTGTAAATGATAAAGTGAAAGCTTATTGGCTGACATCTGGTTATCAAGATTATTTAGCTAAATCATTAATGTTTATGACAGTGAACTGTAACATTTATGAAAAACTCAAACAATAGTAATCTACACAGCTGATGTCAAAAACAGTAAGTCAGACATTAACTTATTACAAAGGAATCACAAAACTCTTGCACAGAAGTGTAATAGTTAATTTTTAGTGAGAGACATTAATGGAAATTTTTTTTAGTTTTTACAGAACATTGTTTTTTTATTTTAACGGGTATGTAAATGTAAAATATCTCCAAATAATTTTTTAAGACATGGTAATGATAACACTTATTCACATATCTGATAAGAAAAAAATTTAAATATAACCAAAATGTACAAAAACGTGTCATTTAATAAAAGGGAGTTAAACATTTAACTGGAATTAAATTTGATGATGAGGAACCCACTTTTTAGAAAATAAAAGTTTGGAAACAGCTTGACTGGGTAATGAAGAAAACTTTATTACAATTGTATGAAGTTTTGACATGATTATGTCATCCTCAGGTACAAGTAGTTTACAGACACACATGACTATATATACAATATGGAATAAAGAGGTCATATGACCAGACACTGCTTCACAGCTTATTATAGGTATCTTGGTATCATGGGGTATAGGTTTAGGGTGGGGCTGTTTTGTTCAATTAAGATAGCTTCTTTGATTCTGTGTTTATTCATGTTTGGTTCTTTCTTTAAAATTACAGTATTTTGTATGGACATACTGTGGTTTTTTTGAGTTGCAATGGTGGTAAACATGAGAGGGTTTTTTATTATGTTCGGTGAATTGCAACTAAAAAACCACAGTATGTCTATACAAAATACTTTAATTTAAAAAAAAGAACCAAACATCAATAAATGCAGAATAAAGGAAGCTAGCTTAATCGAACAAAACAGCTCCACCCTAAACCACTACCCCGGCATACCATGATACCTATACTAGGCTGTGAAGCAATCTCCAGTCATGTGACTTCTTTGTTCCATACTGTATATATATATTCATGTGTGTCTTTTAAACTACTTGTACCTAAGGATGACATAATCTTGTCAAAACATCATACATTTATAATAAAGTTTTCTTCATTACCTGGTCAAGCCGTCTCTAAAGTTTTATTTAACTGAAATACATTTCATATGGCAGTGTTGGCAAAAATATTGTTTAAAAGAAATTTTAACTTCATGGCAGAATTCTTAAATTATAATTTTGATAAATTCCAGGATGCCTTAACAATGTTTTCATTACAAAAGCACATAAAAGCTACTTTTCAAGCTTTTCTAAGAAAGATATAGTTACAAAACAATTCTACAACAAATATTAAAATAAAAAGATACCTGAGCACTAACAGTTGAATTTAGTTTAAAAAAAAAATGGGCTAAAGAAGACAAAAATGAATTTATCTCATATTGTACAAATAGAAACAAAAAATAAAAATACTACAATACAAGCAAATGTCATGATATCAATCATATTCATGACTATCTTCTTGCTGAGTTACTTTAGAATCCCTTGTAGGATCTCTTGATCTGACATTTTTGAATATACCTTCAGTCAGTCCTGTTTGGGTTATCCTGAAATTATGACAATATATCCTGATTATATTTCAGGTTGTTTTTGAAATGTTTTTCTTTTCCTCTAAAACCATTATTATTATTCTTTTCAATATTAATATTATTATTGTTCTAATTAAAACCTACCCTCAGTTTTAGTTAGGTATGTTGTTTAAATGTCAATTAATTATGATCAATAACAAAACCCACACTAAGTAGCTGAAATATGCTATAAACTCCGAACATAGTCCAGAATATATAGGAGTATAAAAGTAAATTGTAACTCCATTAGTATCAAATTGAATGTGCAAAATAACTTCAGCATTTTTTTCAATGTTACAGGTTTTAAAATATATTAGTTTTTACATTGCCAAAACTAACCAAATATACTTATTATTAACAAGGAAATGAAATACATATTAGTGGTATGGCATTAGTAACTGAAACTTGGATATTGGGTATAGGAAGGGGAGGTATGGATGCCAAGTGAAGAAGCAGAGGAAACCTAGGCTGAGTTTGCCAAAGGGGTTCCACAGCAGGACTAAAGAAAGAGTGTTGTGTATCAATATGAGGACCTAAAGGAGGAGTCGAAAAGGGACAAATGGGGGGCATGCTGAGCCAAGAGCAAACCCAACAAAAGAGCTGGGAGTGAAGAAATAGGAAACACATGGTACAGTTGAGAGAGGCAGTCTGCCAAAAGGGTCATAGCTCCTGGCACATGACAGGGAACAAGAGGAGTTGAATGTTAATGAATTAGGAAGAGTAGGTCTAACATCCAAAACCAAAGGGTCCTGGAACAGGTGCCCCCTTGATGGTTGGTATAAGAAATGACAATGAAAATGTTGGAGTGTATAATGACCAATTGATCCACCAGAAGGAGCAGGAAATGGAAACATGCCTAACAAACATGGAGAATTTCAACATGCTTGTTGATGTGGAGTGAATGTTAGAATTATGTCCAAATGCCAGAAGTCATGTCATCATCCAGAGATGCACCTCAACCCAAGAGGAAAGCATTAGTGAAGAGATGGAGATCCATTCTGAGGGTTGGTAATGGAATGCCAGAAATAGTATCGGTGCAGACCATCCACCATGACAAATCCTAGAGTAGAGGAGAGGTTCATAATCAAGGACAACAGAATCTGAGAAAGAATCCATTGCATCTGCAAGGTCCATTGGAGGAGGTGCATGTATATACACCAAAAAAAATGAGGGGTTCCATGGAAGTCAGAATCCCCAAAAGCAAAAGAACTGCTCATGCATGATGAAAATGATAAGTACAAATTCTGGTGACTAAATAATCCATAGCTCACAGGCAAAAAGGAGAAAGCTGAGTTGGCTGAGACAAGATATGAAGAAAACATCCAAATGTATTAAATATTGAGTGGGCATGAGAAAGAACTTGGATATCTTGACAAGCCACTCCAACTGAGTAGCCTTCTGCAAAAGGGGATACCTCCTGAGAATGAGCCAACAGAATATCAATTGCCCAAGAAAAGGAAAGATGGCCCAAGGCCACAAAGATGGTGAGGGAAGTCCCTCTCAACACAAAATAATACAAAAGGGGCCAATTGCTATGTGGAAGGGAAGAGCAAGGAATTGCAAAACACAAATATGATGGAAGGAACATAGAAACCATCTGGAGGCCAGGGCAATGGGGGCGTGTAGGAATGTGTCTGACACACTTACCATGGCCAACTGCAGACTGCATGAAAAAGACCACAGAAGGGGTTGGAGGGAAGAGAAAAGGAAATGGAAAGAGGACCAAAGAGAAGTGGGGAGAAAGACCATGGGATGGGAGAGAACATGAAAAATGTCTCCCGGCAGAAACTGAAACAAATGGAGAAGAGGAAAAGATGGGTACCCACAGGGTCTGATGTGACAAGATAGCCACAGATAAGAAAAGTGATGAACTAAATGTTGAGTAGTAGGAGAAGAGCAAATAAGGAAGGCCTGCAACCTGGAATGGGAAGGGTAGACTGATTCAGATGAGGAATAGATGCCAAAGAGCAAGGTCAGGAAAGAAGAAAAACCTAGGAAGATAAAGAGGACCAAAATTGTGGAACTGCAGTCCAAGTCTCCAGTGAGAACTGAACACCATCACAGACTTCCAAGAGAAGAAAGAGAGCCTGACAAAGACCATGTATACAAGAAGGAAGAAGGTGTACAGTAAAATGGAATGCAATGTGACCCAACAATAGAGAAACTAAGGAAGGAGGGATAGAGCAGAAGAAGTGCAACAGGCTAAGCTGGCAAAGAGAGGGAAATGAATATCTTCAGAAAACTCCTCTGGTGCATGATAAAGTGCCTCAGACAAAAAATGGAGGGAGGAGAGGAACATAGGAAGTTGGGGAACCAGAGAGTGAAATAGAAAGCAAGGGGCCCATTCCTCAAGCAAGCCAAATAGATGCCAAAGATAGGGAATATAGAAAGGAAGAATGTCTGCAAGTCAGGACAAAAGAGTTACATACATGAGGAGGACAAGGCATGTGGGAGCTGTTAAAGATAGGAAACAACATAACCTTAATAACAAACAAGGAGAAAAAACAAAGCAATCCCAAGAATTGGGTTCATGGAGTAAAGAACAGGCAATGTGAAGGGACACAGGGGAAAGATAAGGAAAGGAACATACCTGAGCATGTTATCCATAGTAAGGCACTACCCAAAGCAAATCAAGTTAAATTCATAGTCCAATAGGCCATTTATGACTTAGGAGAAAGAACACTGGCTAAAGGGACAGAAGTAGGAGGCCTATTAAACATGTGGTAATAAGCAACACATTAAATAAAGGTTGCAATGTTCACAACAGTTAATGAGCTTCTAAAAGCCATTGTATAAACATTGTCACTCATGCAGAACTAAACAGAAATCACTGCCACTTGAGGATTCAAGATAATACTCAACACTTTTGAAACAAAAGTCAATGTAAAATAAATACCAAAGTTTCATTAATGCACACAAATCTCATCACATTGAACTTAAATAATAAATTTGGACACATCTGTTCAATGTAATGCAGAGGAGAAGAATGAAGATATCATGAGTACAAGTGCATAGGGGGAGTTATTGCATATGGAGGTTGTGTCACCCTCCTCTTGGTGGATGGTCATCATTGCATAATGATGTCTTCTTGCACCAGCGCAGTTCACATTGAACACGTGAATTTAGGTGAGAGAGTTAGCTCAAGGCTAGTGGCATGCACATCTGAAAGGCAGACAAGTAAGAAAATAGCATTTCTTTGTGTGGAAATGAGTTATTGTCTTGTAAAAAAAATTCAATTAACACATCATAAATCTATGTGCATCTTATGAATTCATTAATATTTGTTCAATTTGACTATAGATTTTATAGCATTTGAAACAATCTAGAATGACCTGATCCATTTATTCCAGAAATTCACTATGTTCTACAAATTATGTAAGAATGATTATTATGATTACTGGTTCTATCACACTAATATGATGAGTGATAAGTAAGAACTTACACTTCTTCCATCTGTAGCTCAGGATCATCTTGAGACAACCTGATGTAAGGGTTGTTCGATGTTGGGCGGAAATTGTAACCAGTCAAAATAAAGAATCCCAGTGTGATTGTTTCTCGGAAAAACTCATTGAGCCACTCATATTGGAAAGGCACAGTAATCTAAAAAAATAAACCACACTCTGTTAGTTATTTTTAATGATGGTGAGGTAGGTTCTAACATCATAATTTGCAGCAAATGAAACAGTTAAATTTGATTATGAGGAACCCATAATGAAGGCAATGAAGTTTGAAAATAGCTTGAATGAGCAAGGAATACAACTTTACTATAAGTTTAACATAGTAACAAATGTACAATGTTTAGACAAGAACTTGATGATGAAACCTTGTACAGTTGTTGCAATATTAAACTTACAATAAAGTTTTCCTCCTCACCCATTCAAGCCATCTTCAAACTTTACATGGAACAGTTACTTCTTTGATTTCAAGTTAGACATAAAGTACAATACACTGAATATGTGAAAAACAGTGATCCCCATCAGCCTTTACCAAAGAACTACTGTGAAGAAAGTGAAGTTTTATGACTACAGTATATTAAAAATAATGCATCCATACATGTACATGCAACTAACAAGTTTATCTAAACCATATTCAAAGATGTGGTATGAGACACTGTTGTTCACAGGTTAATAACTATAAGGGCCACTTACTTTGTTCTCATATATATAGTACATTTACTAAAGACATAATATATATCTCAGAAGCATTTCAAGAAAAGATTAAAAGCTTTCATTATTCAGTTTTGTTTCACATAACATTTCTGGTAGAAAAAAATAAGTAAAATTGCTCTTCTTTTTTCAGTTTTCAACTGTATATTCTGCTAAATTAATATGAAGACTCTTGTAATAATTCTTTTACTTTTTTTTTAAATATTTCAAAATATTTTCTCTTTGATATGTACTTTCTCAATATTAGAGTGCAAGAGAAAAACTTTCGACATAAATATTAGTCAGGGCATTTCCTACCACAGTATCAATCTGACAAATAAGTTAAACATGTTTTTTTCTGTTTGCATTTAATTAAGTGGTAAAAACTTGACAAACATTTTATGCTATTTTTGTAACAGTTAAAATTTCCCTCAAAATATTTCACAGTTCTTCTGCACATCACTATATATATAAAAGTACTGGATGTAAAGCTAGTGATGATATAAATCTAATGAATGCAAATAAAAATTTAAGGTTTGACAATACATAATCAGATGAGTACTATGTCCATTTTATCTGGTGGTTAGTTTAACTCACTGACTGCTGATTTGCCATATAGGGTCTGGTCCACCTCTGGCAGTTGAATGAGAGTGTATTGTATACAGTGTATGGCTGGTACATTTAATATTTAGAGCAGCCACAGTCAATGGATTAATACCACAGTTACTTAAAATAGTAATTACATGAATATTTCACAGTTATATACTCAAGCAAAATATAGTAATAATACCTTGAGAAGGTACACAACGATCCTGGTGAAGTAGATGTAGCAGACAATCTTAAGTAAAGAAAATACTATGATTAAATACTTGAAAACCAAAGCTAACTATTAATTATATTGTTTCCACTGAACAGACTGTTATGTTTCAAAACTTGTCAAATCACATGCCCTAAACTGACATACTTTTTACAAGAAGTACATCTGTTTGTGTATTCAGTTTGTGACATACAATCTTAAAAAAAGAAAATACTGTGATTAAATACTGGAAAACCAAAGCTAAATATTAATTATAATGTTTCAAATGATTCAAGTGTTATGCTGCACAACTTATCTAATCATATGGCCTGAACTGACATACTTTTTACAAGAAGTACATTTATTTATGTATTCAGTTTGTTTGTTGGATTTTGTACAAAGGTAAACATCAACTATTTGTGAAAATCATCTCTACTATTGAAGTGATAGTCTAGAAGGAAGTTGGCTGGTGAACAACACCCACAGCAAACTCTCGGGTTACTCTTGTATGAGTAAATAGTGGGATTTGAACATGTATATTTAGTCCTCCAATAAGAGATCAGCTGTTTCCTAAGTCTGATTCTGATTGTGTTGAGTAATTTGTTTTCAAGACAGGTTTCAATGCATCATATATTTACACTTATAAATGTATATACATTAAGAATACAGAATTAATGTGAGTTTAAAGTTTTATAATTTGTAATTTGGACCTGATGAGAAAGAGGTTCTTCTTTTAATTAATAAAACTTTTTGAACAGTTAAACTTGATTTTGAGAACAAAATGTCTTCTTTTTAATTAATTTTTTCCAGATATTGTAGGACTACTCAATATAGTTTTATAACATTCTGTAATGTTCCTTAAACATTTTGCAGCACTAAATAGGCACTATAATAGAACTATCCGACACCTGCTAATCACAGAAGATTAATAATAATAATAATAATGAAAATCCAACATAGAACATAGAATCCATGTAAGATATGCAGTCAATGTGTCATTCAAACTATAAGGCCTTTCTGTTCTCAAGTTATAAAAGTCAGTTTGATTTTTTATTTAAGATTATTGATAAATTGTGTCCCATTAATAGCTTCTTAAAGATGTATAAGAACAGCATATTTTGTACAGGTATAATTAACTAGTATAACCTTTTGTAATTGCATGGTTGTCTATTTCAGTGGCTCTAAATTTAGCATCATTAAAACAGTGCTCAGAAAACAAAGTCTGAATGTAAAATTTATAAATCAAATATATTTTAGTCCACAATAATAATTATTATAAAAATAATTTAAATAAGCTAAAATTCCTACAATTTGGAAATATTTTAACATATTTCAGTTAGTAAGAAATAAAAATGATAAAACTGTGACATGAAAATGATTACTTGTTTAAAAAAAAGATTTGATAACACTGAAACTCTCCTAACTGGGTAATTCCAGTATAATGCAGCCTAAAACAAAGAAATGCACAATTAAATAGCTTAAATCATCTAACCATGACATAAAAGTGTCTGAAAAGTCTGAGTTTCTCTAAGTTCACAGCTGCTTTTCCATCAGTTTGAGAAGCTTGTTGAAGATGCTTGATAGACCTAAAAATACAATGTATACATACTTATACACACACACATATATATATATATGTACATGAAATATTACAGTTTGTGTTCAATGACTAATTTCTAGCTCAAGTACCATGAATTATTATATCAAAGTCTAACAAATAATTTCAAAAGTAAAGAAATACAAAGTAAAAATTTAGTTATAAAACCATTTTAAAGCTACTAATTTCCTGATTATCTTTAAAATATACTAGTTCTTAATGTGTTTTAATGCTATTGTTTTATTCCATCCCTTACAGTAATAAAGAATATTTCTAAAAAATGTTTTGGTTATCAGCTTTGATTATCAATTGTTGAGAAAACAATTAATTCTTTGTTTGAAGCTAGTTACTCGAAGTATAATTACTATTGTATGTGATCTGTGATTTTCCAATTAAGAGACAAAAACCTTTGCAAGTAAAGCCTTTACTGCTGCACATCCTGACAAGAAATTTAATGTCAGGAGCTTTGAATGACATGAAACTCCTCTCCAGAGTGTATGTGTTTATAAAAACTATAATTACAGGACATATGGCATTTACGTCTCTTCATAGTCACTATCACAATGGATAATGTGTTTTCTACTTTAATCACCAACTAACTCTGATTGACAAGATACATTTACAATGCTTATTCAACACATTTGATCCAATTTTATCAAACAACAAGTCTGTGAAAGACTACTAACAAACATGCTTTAAAATATAGTTGCTTCCCAACTATTGGAAAACAACAACAACAGCTGCATATAAACAAGTAATGTAACTTTGACATGAAACAGTTGTCAAGTATTACCTCAGTACTATCACTCAAATTACACTAGATTCTTACATGTCTTAAGGTATTCTGTAAAAAGCAATTTGTTTGAGACGAAACAGTTAACTAGTATTAACTCACTATTATCAACCAAATTGCACTAGAGTTTTACAAGTCTTAAGATAACCCCCAAAAATAAATTGTTTAAAATGAAACAGTTAACATGTATTACCCAAATACTATAAATCACGTTAAACTAGATTTTTAACAGTCCTAAGATTTTCTGTAAAAAACATGTTTGAAATAAAACAACTAACAAGTATTACCTCAGTACTGGCAAACAAATTACAAAACTTATCAGACTTATGATATTTGATAAAATGCAAGTTGTTTGAAATGAAATCGACAAGTGAATATTAGCTCAGCAGAGTCAAGAAAATTACACCAGAATTTTATCAGTTTGAATTTTTTTTTATAATCAACAACTTCTTATAGATCACTTTAATCCATCAATATTATATAATTAATTAATTATTCGAACAGTGCATACTTCAAGTATCAATCCTACTTTTTGCTCTTTATGACACTCTAAGTTTAACTTGATCTTTAGTTAAGACAAAATATCTCTCTACTAAGTTATCTAATTTAGAAATCAAACAAAATCATAAAAAATAAGTTACTTTTACAGAGTAAAACACAACTGATGAGCACTGCAAATTGAAATAAATATTTGTATTTCAGATGTTTTTATAATAGTAATGTAATAACAATGGCAATTAAGAATTTTAAGGGGGTTACAGCCGTGTGAAAGTTAAGTAAAATTATACATAATTTCCTGTAACACATTTATCATTTTGTAATTTCCCCATTTGTATACATGCATGACACACACACACTGTTGGGATGTATCAACTTTTAAAATTACGATAGGAAACTACTAATGATTATTCAAAATTCAGTTTAACAATCAGGGTTCAACTAGGAGGAAAAAAACTACTAATATAAACTTCAAACTTTTTTTTAAATAAAATTTACAGCCTTAAAAAGAACAACTACAAATTGAAAATGAAATGTAAAATGTCTCAATCGTACGTTAGGCCACTGGAGATCCTACCCATTACATGAAACAGTTCTAGTCATGACACTATATTTATGGTTAGAAAGATGGAATAATTAACCATTCTGTGCTTACCACACAATTGGAAATAGAATAGCTCCACAACACAAGAGATCAACCAAGATAAACACTTCTCTCCAAGTAGTATGTTTCACTTCCCCCTCCTCACTCTCTTCCATGATGATTTCTGCTATATTGGCTAGAACCTGAATACAGATAGATGTTTGTCCTTAGTCTATTTCATTAAAATAATGTGTTCACCATAACACTGCAACATTTTCCTAATTAATATGATTTATAATACTGACTCATCATATAAAGTAGAATAATTTTTGTTAGTGATAATTTAATAAATGTTTTCAATTAAACCTGAAATCTAAAACAAACAAGTAACCACTTCAGTTTTACTGTTTATATAGTTTTTATTAATGTTTCAGCTTTCACATTCTTTGCAGTACAGATTTATATTTGCTAAGAGAGTATAATTAGCCATGTCTTGTTCCCCTGGTGATTTACTTTAGCTATCTGAAGTTTTATTATTACATCCCTTTGTTCCTACTTAAAATGAATCTGCTTTGTCTGCCATAAAACAATACACAGAACATTACTGCACTGTACATACACATTTATATCTGGCGTTAGAGAGCCAAAATTTCAAAATTCTTTGAAAAATGGACTCAGTTAACCAGTGTCCAAGGTTGAGGTTTAAGAGATACTGCACTAGTATTAGTTTACATAACATTTTTCATTCCAGATGGTACTTTTGATAAACAGATACTTGTGCTAGTTATTCTCACTCAATATGGTATATAAATATGTTATTGGTCCTAATTAAAAATGTTCACAGTCTAATAACAATTTTACATATACCACAAATGGATTAACTTTTTCTGGGTGATACTTTAAAATAAATGTTTTAAACTTTTAAACTAAATGTGACAGGCCTATCTTGACTTACAAGTTATAGAAATACAAAATTGTTTACCAAATTGGCTAAAATAAATTATTCAGTTATTGAACACAAACTATGTCATTTCATTTTTCATCCTGGTTCACCCTTATCACATCATTATAAAAACCATATAAATGATATAGTAAAGTGTAGAATATGTTGAAATGCATGTACCATACATAACTCTAGCATTGCTAATTACAATTTTTTAACAGAAAAACAGATAAAACATTTATATATAACAGAAATAAAACAAAATATTTATATTTTATTTAGATAATTATTTTGTACCTTTGCTTTTATTTGAACACCAAAAGTACGGTAAATATATTTCCATACATTTTTTAAATTTTCTGGTTCTAATCTTTGATCAACTGATACCTTTATAAGTCTTTCGACTTTCTTTTCTATATTCATTTTATATTAATGAAACACTGATCTACATTTTTGACAAATTGATTGTCCTAACCACATAAAACAAATTCAAAACAAAACTAAGTAGTTAGTGTTAAATATTCACAGCAATTATGTGATAAAAAAAAACATCCTTGCCTGAAGAGGTATGATAATTATAAAAATTTTCTTTTCTTTGTCTGACAGAACATGTTTTATAAAGGCCCAGCCAGTTCCAATCAAGACAAGAGTAATAAACAAAAGTGCTCCTTTGAGGCTGTAAAGATAAGAGAACATTTACTTTGTGTAACCTCAAAAATCATATTATGACCAATGAGCATACCTGTATATCAAAGTTCAAATTTTAAGTAAAAATAATGATTCTAACTATATTTCAAGAATTATTAATTAAAAAAATATATTATAATTGATACTTTACAATTTTATAACATTTATTTAGTGTAATTTACAAAGAAAAATGAAAAAAAAACAACCTTTAAACTTACATTTCTGCTCAGCTTTGAGAAGTACCATCTGTAAACAACACATTTATTGATTTTTTTTAGAAATTTTCTGCTCACCCCACAGTACGTTTAGATTTGCTATAAAACTATCATCCCGAGAGAACATAATAACCCGTGTCTTGCTTCTCTTGTGATTTTTCTTCTCTGTTTGAGGTTTTATTATTACAGCCTTTCGTTCCAACCCTTTTATGGTATCACTAATCAGTAGTGAAGCACAGATTGAAATAAGATACAGGTAAAGTTTATATACTATTGGATTGAGCATATTATAAAATATTCACATCAATATAGAGTTTGATGAGAAAGTGAGTTCACCAAACTCCTGCAGATGTGAACAAAGGAATTTCATGAGAAGTTTTGAAGAATTAGGAACAAACTACAGATCTGTAAGTTTTTTTAGTTTCTTTATTTATGTTTTTGTTTCTGAAAATGTTTTTGCATTAAGTTGTATCTGTTTGAAAACAATGAAAATTTTTCGCTACTTTAAATCTCAAGTTTAGTAAGTACGGCACGCAACTGCAAAATTTTTGATGTCTCAAATCCTTATTAATTGAATATTATTGTTAATTTTATTGGATTTACAATGTAAATATGTAAAAAAAAGCATTATTTATTAAGAATAAACTATATTTATTAGATATCAGTTGATTTCAACCACAACTATTGTTACTTAGTTTGAGAAAGGTAATTGTAAGGCTATTGTGAAATGTTAGGTCAAAGATTACCAATAAATATTCAATTTATAGCCAGAAAATATGGCTATTGTTTCAGCAAAATAAACTAACAAAATAATGTTCTTACTCAATGTCAATTAAATTGAAACTGACTAGATATAAAAAATAAAACCTCTAACATGAAGTATTTTAACACATTCTCAGCATAGTGATTTCTCTAATTATGCAATAGGAACATAAGGCCTCATTGTGAATTCTGCCTTAAATACAGCTAAGTTTATGGCTTTATGATATGTTTTATGACAGAATGACTGCATTGACAACTTTCTGGTGGTACATGACATCCTGCCGTTACCCATTTAAGCCTTTGCTGTTATGTACCACTGGTGGTGCACACTATGATTTAAGCAATAATAATCAAATGATCATAATTTTTAATTTTTTTTTCAGCCTAATGTTGCCATTTTTTAGAAGAATTATGAATATTTCACAATTTTGTGGTCATAAAAAAGGGACATCAGATAAAATAATCCCTACTGTGGATGATAATAGTTCTTTCCTTATTTATTATAGTCTTCATAACAGTTTTCTTATTTATGAAAGAAGTCTCAATTTTTTTTTGCTTCAATTACTCACAATGAAAAATGTAATGCCAATCTCTAGATGTAATTTTAGAATAAAAAGTGATTTAATCATATAAATTTCTTTTATTTCAGTTGTCCTTTTAACACGGCATCGTGCTCCACAAGTGGTACATGATGGAAGGCATGGCTTTACTATAGCCATCTGTATAAAATAAATGTTTCATATAGGACTTTGGAGATATGAGGTACAGTTATATCTTATGGGTGCTGTGTACCAGGGGTAGCTCACAACATCCAACAGAAAGCATGCATATGTACCACTGGTGGCACATGATGGAAGGCATGGCTTTACTATAGCCAACTGTATAAAATAAATGTTTCATATAGGACTTTGGAGATATGAGGTACAGTTATATCTTATGGGTGCTGTGTACCATGGGTGGCTCACAACATCCAACAGAAAGCATGCATATGTACCACTGGTGGCACATAACGTCGTGAGCGTGTTAAATGTTTTTTAGTACAGTGTCTCAAAAATATTTAAGAAATATCACAAATTGAAAAATATGATAGAAAAAGTATCTCAAATTAGATGAATTTTTAAAGCTGAAACTAGATACCACTCCGTACATGTGTACTACATTTCATGCTATTTGGTATTTCCACTTTGAGAAGGGAAAAAGCAAAAGGTATTAATGACCCTACCCCTTACACTTGGGTATGGAAAGAGATAAAGTAGTGCTAATTTTGAATAAGAAGAAAGACTGCTAGTACTGCAACAAAACCCATGCTACAGTCACCTAACAACTGCTTTTTTGAGTCATGTCAGTTTTCATCAGCTTAGTTAAGTCAATGATACATATTGACATACAATGAAAAGTTTATATAAACTGTACTCTTTTATAGATATGGAAGATGGTTTCGTCAAAATAAGTGAGTTCCTACTGATTAGTCAGTTACATTGACTGAAATGGCCATTTAACCTTACCAAGAGATTAATCAAAAATAAAAATATTAGAATACATAAAAGTGTAACAGTCACATAAGGAGAAATCTTTAAAATTATTATTTTACAAAATCATAACACTTACAGATGTGTAATGTAAAACAGCACTGCCCAAGCTTCAATGTGAAAACCTTCCCGTGAGATAAAATAGAAGTTTATCTAAAAGGCAGAAAACAAAACATTGGTCAAGTACGTATTTTACTACATACAACAAAGTTTAAGTTAAACTTTCTTTTATTGGATGTGTTCACAAATATAATTACATTTTTATAAGAACCTCTCCTATAACTATAGAAATAATTAAAATAATTATAGTAGCTCCCAAATTATCCATTAGGTTTACTGAAAACATAGTCTGCCCAGCAAAATTTGATGCTTTTACAACACACTAACAACTTTGTAAAAGTATATGAAAAAATATTTTGAAATTAAAGGAAGGCAATAATGAGCACAAAGTACATTTAAAATAGAAAAATAAAGGTATTTAAAATAAACGAAAGTAAGCAGCTTGTACGGATAAGTTTAAACATGTTCTTGATAACTTATGAAAAACATTCTGCAAGTCAACATACTTTCTAGTACGTTTTAAAATCGTTACTACAGTAATAGACTTACCCCATGAAAAAGTAGAGAAAACGATTTCAGAAATATTAATAATCCCATTAAGTAATGAATTTTGAAAGCTTTCTGTCTGTAAAAAAAGAAGATATTAATTGCATTTTCTATAAAAAAAATGCTTGAACACTAAAATATTATTTTTATGTTACTCTGATTAACTTAAAATATAGATATATTTACTGATATTAAAATATTAAATATTAGGTGTAATTTGTTAACATTATCAGTCAAATCTGGAAAATTAAAACAAACTTTTACAATTCATAGTTTTCTATCAGTGAAAATAACAATAATTTGTACAAAAATCTTTTGAAGTTTACAATTTCAATGAATTTAAGGTAATAAGGATGTTAATATCTTAATAATAATATCACAACTTTAAAGTACTAAAAAAAATAGTTACACCTAAAAATATGTATAATTGCTATTAATATAGCAATATAGCTGCATAACAACCTGTGATGATGTAGTTACTAATTAATCACCAGCCTTTGTGACACTATAATTGAGTAAATTATTCTTCACTTTCATAGATATACTTACTATTTTAAAATAATTCAATATTGTTTGTTTGTTTTGAATTTCTTGCAAAGCTACACGAGGGCTATCTGTGCTAGCCGTTCCTAATTTAGCAGTGTAAGATTAGAGGGAAGGTAGCTAGTCATCACCACCCACCACCAATTCTTGGGCTACTCTTTTACCAATGAATAGTGGGATTGACCATCACATTATAATGCCCCCATGGCTGAAAGGGTGAGCATGTTTGGTGGGACAGGTATTCGAACCCGCGACCCTCAAATTGCGAGTCGAGCACCCTAACCACCTGGCCAATGCCGGGCCTATTGAAAGAATTAAGTTATTATATGAACATTTAATGATTAGCAGACTGTTATGTTTTAATATTAACAAAAGGCAGGATATATCATATACTTCTAAATTTGTGACACAGTATGTTTAGAGCTATGTTTGTAAGTTCAATTACATGTTTTTATTTTAATGATTATTATAAATATTTTAATACTGTGAGCTTATTTATTAATAAGCAGAAAACTACACAATGGACTATCTGTGCTGTGCCCACCTCAAGTATCAAAACCTGATATTTAGCACTATAAGCCATTGGATTTACTGCTGAGCTACTGTGGGGCATTTCAATAGTGAAGTAATTTTTATGATAGATGTGAAATCATACCATAAGTGGAACTTAAAAGTTTAGTGTTATGCAGTTTTGCACTAAAATATATCCAGAAATATAATGGCTGCCTGTTCACCTAACAATTAGCTTTATTTGGTTTGCTTTTGGTGTGTTGATAAATATGTTTGTGTGTGTGTGTGTGTGTGTGTATGTTGTAGATGTGTCAAATTTTTCTTTTTTATAAATGGCGAACTTAACCTCTTAAGCCCCAAATTAATAACATTCTCTAACAATCCCAAGACAAGTAACCTGTGAATTGATTAAAATCTGCATTTCGAACTCTAATTATCACATAGAAACCCAATTCCTGTGTGATGACTTTAATCCTAGACTCTGAAATCAATATAATTCTTCCTCATCCCCAAGAGACATAACCTGTAAAACATGGTTTAAATCTGCTGTTTAGCACTCTAGTTATTTTGTGGAGTGGTAGATATTTGTTGGGAGGGGGGATAAAAATTGCCTAAATTAGTTGTGTTTTTATTGAAAAATTCCAACAGCAAACCAATAATTGGTAAATTTTCTTGACAACCTAAATATTATACTGTGATTTCAATCTTTAGAATGCATAAACACATACAAAATTGAAGCAAGATTATTTGAAATGTTCTCATTTCTGTTCAAACAAACTGCTTATAATACTAGGAATTTTTTAATATAAAAATCACTAGAATAATGACCTATCCTAAATACTTAAATGACAGTGTTAAAAATACAAGAATACACTGTATTGTAACTAGTTAATCTATTGCACTGGTTCATTCTCACAATTTGAGGGAAAAATATGCTAATTTTAATACTTTGCAATCTAGATATTAAAGAAAAACATTTTAACGGAAATAAAAATTGATTTGTTTTTATTATAGTCTATTTACTTTAAACAATAAAACTAAATGAAGTTCAATCATATAACATTTTTTAACCCTATATGCCTGGGCATCATTTACTGCGCATGTCATGAGGTTTTAGTGGCTTACATTCAAAATTTTATTAAACTATTTTTAGTTTATGTTAAACCAATTAGTATAAAATAAAATCATAGCTAATAATCTATATTTTAATAGTATATAAGTTTTAAGTTCTTAACTTTATAAGACAATATTTTAAAAAAATCCTGAATTTCCCCTAGTGTGAGAAAGGTGACAAACTTTCTGCAGGCATCCCATCTTCTCTATTTTATTCACCACCCCTCCAAAAAGTGTGAAATTCAACATAAATTACTCACTATAAAATCATCATTGCTCAGATAAACCACAATTTTTATAGCTTTCAATTATGTTTGGTTACAAAGCCATCAAATAGAAAATCAGACCCCTCTTGCCATACCTACATGTCACATCCCCTCTTTCAAGATTTGTTAATAGTTCTCTCTTATGTTTCATTTTATATTATCTATAACCTATAGAAAGCCAAAGGTTTCATCTATCAAATGACGTATTATATTATGTTGTGTTCTGAACAGAAAATTGTCAATTTCTTTTTTAGTACATACTTTGTTCCCATAGGAAAGATAGTGACTAGCTTGGATGAATTTGTAACAACTCTTGTCGCATAGTTACAAAGCCAAAAAAATTATGATAGTTCTATGTTCTTTAGTGCATTATTTAATTGAATAAAAATTATTTTGTGCATTACTACCATTAGTATAAAAAAGTAGGGTTACATGTCATTGACAGTCGACAGCAAAAACAAAAAGAAGACATGGATAAGTACTATATTTCTTGCTTTTCATGTTTATTCTTTATTTATTTATTATTATAAAAGTAACTAAAATGTACAAATATGGATCTCTTTAGGTTAGTTATGGTTAGATTAGGTAAGATAAATTATAATATGAGTAGCTCGTGGGTAGTGTAATTCAATAGTGTAACATGAGCTGCATGTTTCCCAAGTGATTTACAACTTATAATGGTGTGAACAGTAGTTAGACATGGTTCAAAGGGCATAAAACAATAAAATTTAATTATAAATAGATGTATACTGTTACAAGTTTAAAGCTACTTAGGATAAACGAATGTAGTTTCATGCTACATTTGAAGTCATTCTAGAAAGAAAAAGAGGGTAATTTAGATTTATTTAAATTTTTGTTTAGTGGTTTTGAAGTCAGTCAAATTGTCCAACTTGTATATAGTTAGGGTAGAGAAAATAATTGATAAAATATAAAGTTTTACTGTAAACAACCATTTGAAATGTATTTCAGAGGTTTTAGAGATTACACACGAAATTTGAGATTTTCAAGATGAAGAAAAGTATTTTTAATTTTAACATGAAAATCACTTTGCATACGGACTATTAAAAATACTTCATTTAAAAAAATATGATTTTTTGTATGTGAAAGACTTATAATGCCAAATTTCATGAAGATATACACACTATATTAAAAGTTAGTAGCATGAAATCTATAAAGACTTTGAACGAGTACAAAGAGGTCACCAAGCCCGTATTGAGAGAGTTAAGCTAAAAAATCTTTAACAACTAAAAAATTCAGTAGAGATACAATTGGTAAAAATGTTGTGATTGTTTTTCTATTTGTGTAAAAACTGGTTAAACAGATGTTTCATTAATGATAACTTACTTTTTTTTTCTGATTATATAGATCCAGAAGCAACCAGCACTGAAGAAAGCTACAGAAAGTCCTAAGTAAATGTGTGGCAAGGGTATTTCACCAGCAGACAAATAGGTTCCTGGGTTCTTTTCTTTAATAGTCATCTGAAACCAATACCAATCTAAGTTTCAAAAGAGAAAATTATCTTGTACTAGATCATCATAGTTTAAAACATGCATTGAAAGGACAAACACATTCTTCATCAGCCATTATTTTCTTTAAACGTCGCTTTTAATTGACATAAAATAGCATCAGAGGCACATTAAATATTAATTTCTCCTTCTGGTCAGTCAGTTACTGAAAGATAGTTCTCCAATTTGAAATAATGCTTATCTAGGTTTGTTGGGTTATTTAAATTTCTTGTCATGATATTAGAAATGGAAGTGGTAACTGCTACCCTTCACAGGTTTACAGATCTGGTGTAGGTTGGCACTACAAGAGGTTTCGCTGATTACGTAGGTCTGCGATGGTTTTACTGTCTTGAAATTTTTACATGCTGTACAATAATTCCTGTATGCTGAATCCAAAAATGATATCCATTTTTCTCCATCACATACAAATTTTTCACAAAATGTCATATATACTTTTATGTAAGTGAATCATTTTCATTGAATTTGGGTCACATTCTGTTATGCTTAAAATGTTGACAACCCCTGGTTATAGATTTCTCTAGACCAATTGCAATGTGAGAGTCTTATTGATGATTCTAGAACCCACAAGAAACACACCACTAGTATACAAACAGTTAACAGGACACATAACGTGTCATTTCTGGATATTATTTGTTTATGCATGCACTTTGAAATTTTTTTTCTTTTCAATATTAATTATTTGTCACTATGGCAACAATAAGTTGTGTAAATGACCCAAACATAATATTCTATATTTGTGGTAAATTTGATCTAAATAAGAATGTTTTTTTCTTCAAAATTTCTAAAAAATCCTTACATGATAAAAAAAATTATTATTCTTTTTGAAATCTGCACAGCTGAATTACAGAAAATTCATTATTAAAACCAAAACAACTTTTAAATTTGCAGGCTTGTGTTATTTTATGTGGATATATTTTGGAAACACCAACTCTACGTTTCCCCCATTTATTAGGTGTCTCAGGACAGTTTCCAACATTTTTCAGCTCAAGCCAACAAGATATTTGTAAAAAGCTTTCAGACTGTTAGGAGTGTATAAGTCTTTACTACAATGTATGACCTATAGATATCAAGCACACAGAATGTGGATACTTTATATATATAGGGTTGTGAAATCAAGTATGAAACAATTTATAATCTTAAGATATGGACATTTACTCAGAAAAAATTATACATATTTTTGTTATCATTATTTTTCGTTTCTTTTTATTCACTGAATGTTCCTGAGGACCTGTGTCAGTCTGCATACCAGCAGCTGGGAACCCCTGTCCAATATAGTATACACACCATAGCATAAACAGCATCTTTTTTTGAATGTTGTAATTACAAACACTAGATGTGTGACATAACATATGACAGACACAAAGGGTATTTATGTTTTGCCAATATCATTAATGTTTGAATTCATTACAAAATACTTTATGTACTGAATCTTACACCTAAATTTGCTGAAAATGTCACTTTTTTACAAGACCTTAGTAACATATGTTTCTCAAGAATTTTCAGACTGGATTTTAGGTTCTGCTCAGTTATCTCTTAGGCTTAAAATTACTTGAAAAAACCACACAGTTGGACAACTGAAGAAAAACAAAACATAGATAGTTGCTTTATAGAAATATACAAGCAAAATTACTAGTTAGCAATTTCTTTTTTTTTATCACTCCATCAATCAAATAGTCTTCCTATTGAAAATTTATCCAAGCCCTTAATCCCTATCCCTGTCCAATGCAACACATGTGATTCACAGGACATAATGGTAAAGCATCAAAATATCATATGTAATAAATAGCTACATTTATTCGATATACAGCAAATGCTTGTGAACATGGCAATAGGAAATGGTTGTTTTGGTTCAATGTATGAGATTAGAAAACTTTATATGAGCACCACATGTGACACAGAAAGCACATGTGAATGATGATAGGTTAAGTTACTTTCACTCAAGAGAAAATGTAAACCTAGGACTTTTAGCTGCTCTACTTACTCTCTTTCAATAATACTAGAAGGACATGCTTCACTCATTACTACTTGGGTAAGTTGTCAAATTAACATATCCATAAGAACGGGGAAAGGGTTCAATTATAAACTTCTAAAATGAGCCATATTTAAAATGCAGTCAAAAAATTCCCAGTCTTTAAATATGAAGAATTTGTGTATGACAGAATCTCAACTTCCAGCTGAGTATTGTCAAACTAAGAGTTATGGGATCTGTTTGAAGAAATTTTGAATTTATGAGTATAAAGGTTCTTTACAAAAATTATGTAGACAACAATAATGAACCTATCATAAACACAACATAATCCTTTCCAAGTTTCCATGTTCTGAAAAATTATTGTGTAGTTTCTGAACAATTAAATGTTTTTCTCCATTCATTCAAATGACTTGCATCCTTCTAAATTACAGAAATATTTTACACACATAGATCCTTATTCTTGAGCTGGCTAAAATGCCAAATGTTAACATTTTCCTAAAATGTATTTCTAATAGATACTTACCTCCCCTTTCATACAAAAAGCTTTATTGACTTATACTGCCCTCTATCAGCACACATTTTCACTTGCCATTAGCCTTGATACTCCCACTTACTTCCGCATACTAACATGCAAATGACTATGCAACGACCCTCCACCAATAGGAGTGTGACACTAATAGGAACCAATACAACCAATCCTGACTTGTAGATAAGTGAAGCAAATCATGAGTGAAAACATGTATATTCAATAAGACTGCCAATCAAGAAGTGGTTAACATGTAATGATAGGTGTAGTGTCACAGTACTTGTGGAGGGTTGCTGCATAGTCATTTGCATGTTAGTAGGCAGAAATAAGTGGAAGTACCAAGAGCAAAATTTGCGTCGATAGAGGGCAGTATAAGTCGAGAAAGCTTTTAGTGAGAGGAGGTAAGATATCGTATCAGAAGATAGTCTTTTTTGACTTCTAGGATATTACTTTCCAAAGATTAATAAACAAAATAAAAAAAAGAAAGGTCTGTGAATTACACGAACAAGAAACAAAAGAAGAATAAACAACAAAAAATGTAAAATTTTTGTAACATATTTGTGATTTTCATTTTTGTTCTCAGAATTTTATTGGTACATCCTCTCAGTACCCATCCTTTAATGACCTCTGATACTGGAAATAAAAATGACAGAAGTTAGATGTTGAGGGAAGTCAGAAAGTCAGTGATAAAAGAACGTCTACAGTGAGAACAAATCCACTGAAAATACCATAGGATTATGCCACCAGGGTCTATGCTCCAAAGACATAATAGACCAACAACTAAAAATGGACCCAAAGAAGAGTCTAGAATAAGGAAGACAGAGTTTCTGAGAGCAAGTACCTCCCTCTCAGTGAACAGAAAAAATGGCAGACTTATCACTAAATAATTGGGGACTCTGAACAGATATAAGTTCTATTAAGATTGGAAAAAAGGGATACCCAAGGTTATGTGGGATCAAGTGAGAAACTATAACAGAAAGAAGTGAGAAGGAGAGAGAAAACAAGAGAAGACAGTGGATCTCTTGATATACTACAGTGATTGGTCAGAGTCCACTAAAGGGGACATGTAGAGGTTCTTCCAGGAACAAGGGACCCTCCCACCCATAAAAAAACAACAAAGAGACAAATCCTCTTGTGCAGGAAAATAAGTAAACAAGAGAGCCTTGGTATCAGAAGCTATACCTCTCAAAAATGTAAAGGAGAAGGCTGAGCCAACCCTGTATAGGAATTGAGAAAGACCACAAAGTGAATGGGATACTGGGTGGGGGTAAGCTTTGAAATGAAAAGCCAAACCAGCCAATGCTACATTAGGTGAGGCAAGTGCAGGCCAATCATTCATGGAGTAGTGGAAAAGGACCTAAGGTTTGCATCCTGCAAGCAAAAGCACACCTAACCCAATTAAAAACATATGGAGCTCATAGTCAATTAAAAAGGAATATTCAATTGTTGTGGAAGAGCTGAGGGAAACAAAAGGCAAGTGAACTAATTGTTATGTAGAGAAAGCTTCTGAGACATTGATCTTTGTCATCCACAATCTGGAAAAGTACCCACTTTAAAATGAAAAAATTGCCATCTTGAACAAAGAACTGACCAAAATCTATTACAAGAGAATTTGTTCCATGGCATTCTAATCAGGTGAGATGAGGAGAGGAATGTTGGAAAACCCTTGAGAAAGTACCTATGAACCAAGCAGTTTGTGGCAAAGGGAATCCACAAGCATACAAAGAGGGAGAGCAGAGCTCCCATAGGACTGGAGTGAAGGGAAGGCTCCAGAAAAACAGTTGTCTCCAAGACTGTGACAGCCAGCCTACAGAAAGGTGGGGGACATTGGATAATAACAAGAACAAGAAAAGGGGGATAACTCCACAATGCTGTAGAAAACGATGGGGCCCCCTGGTTCAACAAAGCAAGGAACCTAAGTGAGGAGAGATCACTGATGTGAACTGCATCAGCTAGAATTTCCAAAGTATAAGAACCCCCCCCCCCAAAAAAAAACAAAAACAAAAAAAACTTCATCATTAAGAAATGGTGCAACACAGAGGTCCCTAAGAGAAGACTGAGGGGAGGGTGATTGTCAGAGATTAAGGCATCCCAACAAAGTACATCCCAGAATCAAAGAAATTAAGTTAAATGGGACATAATGGTACAAAAATCAAGGCCAAAGTGGAAACAGGCATGTAAATGTGTCCAAAGTAACTGACAGAGTTGTGATGCAAAGCCTCTAACAGAAGGTGAAGCATGGACAAATAGTGAAGAAGTTGAATAAGCATGAAATGAAGTATATGGAGGGTGAGAAAGTCTTAATCATTGAATTTATTTTTTTCATCTTTGGGATATTCTCTTTATCCTTTTTTTTCTCTCAATCATGCAAAAAAGTAGCCCAAGATTCAGTATAAAAAGAACAGAAGAAAGATGAATCAAAAGACATACCTATGTAATCCAGGCAGGGAAGGACAAAGTTGGATTACCTGATCCACATCAGGAAGTTGGAACAAGAAGTAAATATAGGCTTTGAAACAGTTGGAACAATATGCCTAAGGATGGAGCAAAAGAAACTGGAGGTTGGGAATCCTGGATCCAAGATCAGTATGAAACCAACTACCTGACACACAGTGGTGATAACATCACCAACCATCAGATGTATTACAGTGGCCACTACAGTAGTGGATGATTCCTGTTGAGGAGTGTTAGAATCTTGGAGATGTCAGAAACGTGGAAACATGAATTTGTAATCCAGCTGATCCACAAAACATTTATTTATTTTCTTGTTGTTATTAATTTTTTTATAAAATTTGGCCTGCTATGTCCATAGTAAATAAACCTAAGGCATAAGTAAAATGATGAAATTGAAGAGACTTAAGGAAATTTGTATACTTGGTTAAACCAAAGACAAAGAGTACTGTCAAGGAAACCTTATCAAAATCATTGGGGACCTATATTCCAAAATTGCAAATTTTATTAAAATGGAAAAATCAAAGCCCTACGCAAAATTTTAAAATATTTATTTCTTATAACTTAGAAAATAAAGGGAAGAAAGATTACACCACAAATGATAACAAAAGTTTAAAATAAGCACAAACATTTTGTAATTATTAAGAAAAAACATGTCTGAACAAAGCAATGTCAAGAAAAAGAATGACTTTTGTTGAAATGTTAGTGCTCAAGGAAGTATTGCCCTCCTAATGGTTGAGGACTATAGGCTAAGTGATTGCATCATAAAGTTTTGTAGGGCTTGTGGCAAGAGCAAAAATATTATCAGCAGTGGTATGAGGTAATACTTCTTAGTTCTGTGGAGGGGTGAGCAGAATTTATAAAAAAACAACTTCCAAACCAATCTACTCTAACTTTAAAGTCAATGTAATACCAAACATTGACTGTTTTTTCTTTGATATTATTTAAAAATTATGCTTAATTTGTTAACCTTATATGTGTTGTGACACAAGGAACAGATAATTTTTAGACAAACATGCATCTACTTATGTTACACCTTTCCATTGGATGATGGTATAAACTACAGATATTCTAGAAGATGCATTCTGAAAGCTAATTTTGTAACAAAAAGGGGATTAATTTCTTTGTTAAACTATTGTTTACTACCCACATTCTTTTTTCCCTGTGACTAAATATTCTTGAACAATTGTGGAAAGAAAGTTCGTTATCTTTAGGATTCTCAATGCCAGAAAAAAACAACAATAAAAAATAAAACCTAAATGGAAATTTTTAAATTAAAATTTAATAGCAACCTTGAACAGCAGAAAATGCATAACTTATTTTCTTTGTTTATAGTGGATCTCATCAAACAAACAGTTTTCTCGAGACATCTGGCAGTGCTCTAAACTGGCAAAATAAAGTATTAAACAAATAAAAAAAAACAGCAGGAGTTTTTCAAAACTCAGAATTAAAAACAAAGATTTTTCCAATCCATAGTCTGGCACACTAACCACTGGGCCGTGCTCAGCCTATGAATCATAAATCCTCAGATTCAAATCTAGACACACTACCACCTGGCCATGCTTGGATTCATTTAATTAAAAGGAAAACTGAAATAATATAAAGTGAATGAGTACACCACTATGTCATGTTCTCCACATCTAAATGAAGAAGAATGTGGAAGAATAAATCATTGATATTTGTAATGATTTCTTAGTAAGGTAACAATTATAAATTAAATAAACTTACATCTTAGACAATCCACTAGACTTTTATACATATACATGAAAACTTTTTATTATCAATATCTTGTATAAATCCTAAAGGTTAAGACTCCACACTTGGTAAGTTTTACTGTTATTTTTTTCTAAGATCTAATAAGCTTCCTTAACATACGTGACTCAATACTCAAATACCGATCACATCAATGTAGATTTGCTATCTTTAGCTGTATCCTTAGGTTATTTAATATGTGGAATATCTAAAAAAAAAAGTATACACACTATTTTAGACTGTCAACTGCAAGATAGAGTAATAAGGTTAAGAAATAAACAGTACAATTCTACTAAAAAAAATGTATCAATGAAAACTATGACTGTATGTAAACAAAAACTGTACTTTTCAAAGACCAAGAAACCTAAACAACAAAAGTGTATAGTAGTAGTAGTAGTAGTTATCATAAAAAACTGTTCTTAGCAACTAAAGTGGAAAACAAAGAAGGAAATATTCCTTGACAAGTGTGTTATTCTAGGTGCATGGAAAGTAACTGAACAAACATTTGCAATAAAAACAATCAAAATGAAACACTTATATTTAAAATAAATTGATTAAAAAATTAACAAATAGGACTAAAACAATTATGAGAAGTAATCATAAGAAAAAACTCAAAATCCAGTAAAGTTGAAGAATTTCAAGTATGATGCATGTAAATAAAAAATAAACTAAATTAAATTGTAATGTAATATTTAAACCTCAGAAGACAGTAATGTTGACTTCTAATAGTAGAATGTCATATGCAACAGATTGTATAAAATTGTGATGCCAAACAATTGAGTTCACAAGTGTAGTTAGTAAACATGAAAGTCTCCGTCCCTATAACTTGCTATGAATCTCAATAAAAATTTTCATTATTGTACTCAGAACTTGAAATTCATGTTAACTAGTTAAAAAATCTAAAGGATCTAGCATTTTGTTTGTTTGTAATTAAACAAAAAGCTCCACGATGGGTAACGAAACACAGATTCTAGCGTTGTAAGTCCGCAGACATACCGCTGTGCCACTGGGGGGTGTCCAGCATTTTACCAGTGATTATTAAAGGGCACTGACATTTTTTCTTGCCAATTGATAATGCAGGTATGATTACAATTATTCAGGCCAGTTGTAAACAATAGAGTGAAAATTACTTAAAAATAAAAAAGTGACTGCAATAAGAACATTTAAAGAAAAAAAAACACATTACAATAATCAGTCAAAAAGCCTTTCCTGATATCTTTTGTGTATCATTCTCGCACATCTTTCAATAGGATTCCCAAAGTTCAAATTGTTCAAAAACTAGTAATTCAAGAGATGTATATTCTTTCTTTTTCATTTCATATTAGGAGATGTAATTACTATCATAGAACTACAGTTTGATAGGACATTAAACAATATGATATTGTAAATATAACACTGCATGGCTGGCACTTTCACAAGTAACTTTTAAAGTATTTGACAAATATTTATCAGTGGCCACAAAATTAGTTTAAAGCCTTGGATCTATACATATTATACTAATGACTCAACAGATAATAATGTCTAAAATAAATTTTTATATATTTAACAGTATTCTATAATGTGTTAGCAAACAACAGAATATCCACAATAAAATAAAAATTAGCATATCTGTCACACAGTACTTACAGTTAAGTTTACCACAGATTGGTGAACAAGTTTTCCATAGTTTTCACAATTGTGGAAGTACAAGCTGTACAATCCTTTGTGGATATCATCTCCAATAATGACAGAAAACTAGAAACAGAATGTTAACTTTAGCACTATCACAGAAATTATTCTTAGCACATTAACTAGTTTGACTAAAATAAATTGCATTGCCTGTGTTTATATTAATACTGTTTTCACTGTACAAACCAAAAATTAAAGGATACACTTTTCAATTATGAATAACTGTAAATAATAACAATATTTGTTACAACAGGTAATATAAGCATACACACAATCATACTCTGAAGTGTTACAAATTTTAAATGTTACTTTATTTGACTTGGATGTATCCATAGGATACTATTAAAAGGTTTAATAAAAATAAATACAAGGAAGTGGAATTGAAAAAAAAACTTCCAGGGGACAAAATGCCAGAAAAATCTACCTATCCTTAAAAATCTACTCCATATCTAATAAAACACACAGAAAAGTAGAAATGTATACACTGGATGTATGTGAGTATTAATATAATAAATCATTGTTGAGTTAGATTTGTTTCAGAAACTATCTATGGAAACATAAATACATATATACATTATGAGTGTGAAAGTAACCACCAGAACATCTTATAATCAAAGTTTTACTTGTTGAATTTTGAAAGAAAAAGACATTAGTTACTCTCACAAGATATTATTGATTCATAGAAAAAATATTTTGAAGAGGCTTAAGTCACACTATATCAAAATGAAACCATCAAGAATATTTCAATAGTAGTCTCTACTATAACATATGTACACCTATGAGATATAGAGGTACACACAAAACCCAACACTAATGAAAGGGTTAATGTACACAACACACTGAGTCCTTTTTTTTTAAATGAAAGTACTCAAGTCTTTCAGTGAACACAAAATAATAATAACAGTATTTATATATAGCATATAATTTGTAAATTTACAGCCTAGACGTAAAATCTTAATCATGGATTTTTACTAACTATTTGTGCTACTGAGAAGAGTGACTTGTTTTATAAATATGGAGATGGTTGACATGTTTTTTTCTTCAAAAATGGCTCTATTTTTAATTGTTGCAGATAAAAATTAAATTATTAAAATATTTTATTTAAGAAACCTGGAAACTGTAAAACAAGTTATTAAATTTGGTATTTTCTAAAGTTAATAAAGTTCATATTTCAGCAATTACAACAAATCATCACAAAAAATTATTTCATTGAATTACTATACTTCAAAAGCTATAACATAAACATATTTCAGTTCAAATCTATCTCAACCACTAATATGTCTTTTGTATCCCAGATAGCCTAATAAGCCCTTGTATTGGACAAAAGGTTTTGTCGATACTGGATATAGCAGACATAGTGTGGTTGACATATAATTACATTCTTCTTTAGTTTCACTCATAAGTTCTTGTAATTAATACTTTTAAAATGGTAAATCTCATATAGATATTTGGTTTTCTGCAAGTTTTCTAAAATAGTTCTTGTGATTTAAACAAAGATTAATACTTTTGTAACCTACACTCATAGTTTGTTTGTTTGTTTTGAATTTCGCGCAAAGCTACACGAGGGCTATCTGCGCCAGCTGTCCCTAATTTAGCAGTGTAAGACTAGAGGGAAGGCAGCTAGTCATCACCACCCACCGCCAACTCTTGGGCTACTCTTTTACCAACGAATAGTCGGATTGACCATCACATTATAACGCCCCCACGGCTGAAAGGGTGACCATGTTTGGTGTGACAGGGATTCGAACCCGCGACCCGCAGATTGCGAGTCGAGTACCCTAACCACCTGGCCATGCCGGGCCTACACTCATAGTAACATATTACATTCATGTTGTAACTGAATGACATTCAAAGTTAACAAATACCATGAATGTGTTAGACAGCAAAATGAACCACCTAGTCATGCCGGGCCGCCTTTAACGCAAGAAATTAAATACGAAAAAAAAAAATGTTTTGCTAGTCCTTGATTGTGTGCATGTGCGTGACTGAAATACAAGAATAAAAAAACGTTTAGCAAAGTTTCCAGTGTAACTCATCGATTTTATTACAATTTTATGCTAAACTTAAAAATTCATGATTATAATTACGTTAAGGTCAGAAAATAAATATATGAAATAACGTGAATGAGGCTTATAACGAACCATGTTAAACACATTTCATATTTTCTAGGACCGAAAAAACAATTATGTCTAAGATTTATGTTGTTGTACTATACACCATATTAACAAACAAAAAGATAAGTTTTATGATTTTAATACAACACTTAATCAAATACATGGCTGAGAAATCATATGGGATTAGAAAAATAGATAAATCACACACACACACATACAAAAAGAGAAACCTGATAATCAGAGAGCCTTCGTAAAATATCTTCCATCTTCATGGTTCCCTCTGGTGGCTCATTGATAAGTCTGAGGGCTTATAATAATAAAAATCGGGTTTAGAACACTCATGCTTGGCACATCAAAAATATCTCACCGTGTAACAACAAATAACCCACATTCACGGCAAACATGTTCACTTCAGTAAATAAAACACATTTGGCAGAATATCTTATGACAACATAATTTGTTTTTTGCAGTGTCTAAACAAAATAAACCTTCAACCTCTTTAAAAAAGTTTATTCTTCGAGCTGTCTTTATACAGGTATTTTTATAGTCCGAATGAGATAAGCAACTTTTTGATTTTAATAAGCAATCTTTCATTTTCCTTTACTATTGTGAACTTCTCTCCGATGTCCAGGACAGAAAACAGACTTGTCTATTAATTAAAGCTAAGAAACTTATTTTTCTGCTTTTTTACACGTTTTTACATATCTGCGCCTGGAAGTGCTTTTTTATTTATGAAATATGTAGTAACTAAAGTTCTACTTCCTCTGCTAATCCCAACAACAATTTTGGATATATGCAAAACAATATCTTAAACTGGTTTCGTATTGGCACCACAGATCAATTGCAAAATGTTGCGATCTACCTATATATGATCCTTTTTCTCAAAATTTCACTGAAAATTTTGGTACATTGAATGTTTTCGTTATATTTATCCAATACTGAAATTAATTAATATTAAAAAGGCTGAACGAGGCCTAGTTGTGAGAATGTTCGGCTGTAGATGGAAGGGTCCCGAGTTCGAGAAGTGATGCTTTTCGAAACACTCCGCACTTTCAGAAATGGGCGCGCTAAAAAAAAGTGATAGCCAATCACATGATTCTGTCCAAAGAGTCCTTATGACAACGAATATTGTCGGTTGGTTGCATTCCGTCTGACCAGCAGTTCGAAATTAGGAATAGCTATATCTGAAGCTAGGGGTCTCTGACATGATCGTTTAAGACACATTATCAAAATTACAATACAATTTCTTTAAATATCAAATGCATTAAGCTACTTTTCTTGGAGGAAGTTTGAAAAAACAAATGAAGTTTCAAAGAATAATTATCTTTTGGTTCAAATAAACTCTTTTTTTTTTATAAATACTAATAAAGTGAGTTTTGTTTTCTTCATGGTAATTCTTCTGACTATAGATTTCGATGTTCCGGTTTAATATGATACTGATTTAATGTTTAGACTGCACAACTAGACTGAGTTGGTAAAGTGCACGAGTCGATCGACCGTCGTTTTTCTTGGTTGTGGCTAATTCGGGAAAAAAGCTGACAAATTTTTAAACGAAGTAATGCAATAAGATCTGTTATTTGAGTGAATGCGAGTAAAATAAATGCACCTTGCAAGCTGTTGAACACTATGAAAAAACACCAAAGGACATCACTTCCAGCGATGGCTGCCATGAATCCAAAAGTCCACGTTAATCCCATAACCAAAGCAAGTTTCACGTACAAAACCAGTCGAAGACGACTCCTTCCTTGGCCTGTGTTTTCATGAGCAACCCTGCTGTGACGTTTGGAGCGTGATATCTGAACAGTAGTTTTGATGAATAGTATAGCATTAACAGTCACTAATATACCAAGAGGAACGGCGAAAAAGATTAGCAGCGCCATCCGATTGGATATCCAACAAAGAGTCTTTCCATAGCCTGGCGAAATAACATTTTCTTGAAAGACAAGATCTATCGTAACAGCGGTGGCAACGATTAGCAATGGACAAAACCAGCCGTACGTACAATATTTCATTAATTCTCGATTGTTCGAAACGTTCCTTGTTACTTTCAGCGAACAGAAAGTTTTGCAAATGTCGTAAGCTAATACATTCATCCAAAAAAAAGATGCGAGAAACGAATAATGCATGATAATGGCCATACACTTGCACAATATAAAATAATGTGTCTTGTGTGTTCCAAGTAAAAACACAGACTGACCAACCAGAAGAGAAATGGACAGACAAACTACAATTTTTGCTGGAAGGTTATGGTTTTCAGGGGTGAAAAGATAAATAATTATTTTAAGGAAAAGAGAAACTAGGGAAATGCTTGTACAAGTTACAGTTAGGTATCCTTGAATGTCCCCGAATTTACTGATGATATTCTCTTTAGATGGGGCGCATACCAAGATGGAAGTGTTTGTAGCTGCTTCATAAGCCCCAAATCGGAGTATGTGTCCAGTTTGTTTTAGAACAACCGTGCCGTTTATGTCAATTTTGAAGTCATCGGCTGAAACCGAGACCTTAGGACAACTGGACAAAAGGGTACTATTGGACCAGTCAGGGAAATTCACTGGATTTTCGAGTAAGTTATGGTAACCTTGCTTACAAATTCCGTTTTTATTTATGAACAAGCGGCCGCATGATATATTCCGACACTTTTCTTGCCACGGGTCGTAGACCTGCGAATGTAGACAGCGTCTTTTTGTTCCGACTAAAGTATATCCCTGTTCAAAATTTATATCTAATAGAAAAGCAAATGAAGGAATATTGTCTTCATCAAAATGTTGAATAATCGATTTTTGCGGCCTAGAACAAGAGAGTTTATCAACAGTTACAGAGTTGCATATGGCACAGAATTTATTCTTAAATACAATGTTTAAGTTTAATGACATTTGCACAGGAGCAAAATACAAAGAGCATCTATTTTGAATTTCCCTTTTTGATTTGTTGATATCCTTCGTGTATAGTAGCCAATTTTCTGAACATTGCGATATAATATTTTTGTCACAGGGCCGTAAAGCACTGTTTTTGTACTTTCTCAGTTCTTTTGGAAATAAAAAGAAAAAACCGCAATTTTTATAATCTTTTAACAAGAAAGATGAATAGTTTACATTGGATGAAAATTCAACTGAGCAGTCAAAAACCACGTTCCAGGCCAATACATTCAGATCCTTGTGACAAATGGCGCAAAATATGTTACGATATGTGACTTGCGAAACCTCTCCTGTAACCGGCACGTTAAGAAACGGGTCTTTTAGCTGACTGGAGTCATAACTTTCACACTGAATTCGTACTTCTGAATCTGTCCACGAAGAGGGACAGCGAGACACCATTAAGAAAGATTCAGATTTACTATTGTTTATGGGGAGAACACATGCCCAGAAATTCTCTTCCCCAGCCTTCTGTTTTGTTACTTTTAATCGAGTGTCCCAGCAGCAGTCTCCATATCGGATGCAGTTTGGGTCGCAGGAACAGTAGTGGTTTATATGGAAACCCGACTCAATTGAAGCCCTCTGAGAAAAGCTACAATAATGATGGACACCTGAGCACTCCAGAAAGTACGGATTAGATGATGGTTGCGGGATTTTCCAGTCTGATATAGCTACTCTTGAATAAAAATCAGGTAGAGGGGGAACAGAATAACCACGTCTTACTGAAACAGAGGAGTTTTGTGTTCTGAAATCATTGGTTCCTACAGGCTGTATTTCTGGTCTTTCTCCGGAATATTGAGTACTTATTACAGCTGATGAGAGAGTGCTTGTGGTAAGACGAACTCCAAAAGATTGTGTCGGAACAAGTGTTGCTTCAGATTTACTAGTTGAGCCATTTTTCAACATACTTGGTCCGGTGTTTTTTTCCGTGGACAATGTGACATCGCGAGTGTGGTTGTGAAGTGACTTGTAGTCCACTTTAACGATAGTAATGCTAGACACATTCTTGGTACTTACAGATGAGCCTAATACGTACAATAAGGTAAGTCTAGTGAAAAACTGGAAATATAACATTACTGTTATCTAAGTTTTACATGTTTCAACGATTTCACGAATCTTGTGATTCCGCATACAAAGAAACTTCTGATGATCACGAAGGATCCCAAAGCTATTTTTCTTTCTTTATTCTCTGGAAAATATACAAAAATGTAACCTTAGATTATTGGCAGTTATATAGTAAAATGGTAGATAGACGTTCCTTCTATAATTTGGTTAATGCTGAAGAACAGCAATTTATATTCAAACCAAAAAAAAGACACAATATTTTCTATTATATGAAAAGAAATATATGACCAAAAATGATATGTAGCTATTTAGAGTATTAAGTTGTAAAGTGAAAAAAACACTACGAAGTGTCTATTTATAATAGTTTAAAAAATACATAGAAATACATGTAATCAATATTTAGCAATAGTCAAATAGTTTATTCTATCACAGTTCCAGGAACCATCAGGAATGTTTTAGTTAGAATAAGTATATTGAATCCGTTTCCAAGAAACACCGATTATACGACAATTAGGCATAGCAGTTTTTAGGGCCAGATTTTAGATTCGAGCTACAAATAGTGTATTGATAAATGACTGCTTCGCTTTCTGTTCTAAACTTTTCTGCAGTAACGTTTTCTTTCGTACGTTTTAGTATGCGGCAGGAAACTTCGCCGTTAAATCGTCAGAAATTTGCTGTAATAGATTTTGAATGATGTAGGAAAAGCTAGTTTTTAAAGAAGATTTCTAACTGAAATGTTTGCAAGTAAATTAGTTTTTGTGTACAATTTATACACACACACACACATATACATATATATATATATCCTTTACCTAACGTCTACGAGAATTTTGACACGCCAATCTTTTGTAGAATAAGTAAAACATATTTCAAATATAATTCACGACTTTAACGAACATAAATAGTAAATCATGCATTGTACTGAATTCTATAAACCAATCCAAATCAAAACTGGAATGAAACTTTTGAGAGGTGCATGATTTACTGATTTTTATTTTTTGCAACAGCTGAATACTTTGCGGGAGATTATTTCTCCGAAAGGGGGCCGAAGGCCGCCTGGAAGGAGTAACCTGTTTTAACCAATCGCACCACCATACAGTAGTGTGTTGTCTGTTAATCAGTCAGTAGACACTAAAATGACATCACATAATTTGTAATTTGTACTGTCTTGATGTCAGTAAAACGTGTGCATGTCATGAATCACGAGAAGAATTATGCACTCTGTAGACTACACCACAGTATGACAGGAGCTTCAAAAGCAAGAAATAAATATATTTGTTACTCTTAATTTTGTTTTTATTTACACTTTCGGGATCTTACAGAAGTATATCTGGAATATACATATATACAATTCTCCAACCTTAAGGCCCGGCATGGCCAGGTGGTTAGGGGGCTCGACTCGCAATCTGCGGGTCGCAGGTTCGAATCCCAGTCCCACCAAACATGCTTGCCCTTTCAGCCGTGGGGGCGTTATAATGTGACGAGTAGCCCAAGAGTTGGCGGTGGGTGGTGATGACTAGCTGCCTTCTTCTAGTCTTACACTGCTAAATTAGGGACG